TCTTGGGACGGTTGCATGCGGCCGCCGCTGAGGGGAAAACCCCGGGGATATCAGCAAATCTATTGTGTCGTGCTGACAGAAAGAAACCGTTACTACACACTTTAGCTGCCAACTCGCCTCAGCCACTCAATCCATCATGGGAGGTTTGCCGGGTCACAGGCCGGTGAAACGCAGCCTGGCGGCTATTTTCGGCTTACGTGGACTGTGAGATAAACGGGGCATGAACCAGCCCCCCAGCAGGGGGGCGACCCCTCGTACCCTCATTAAAGTGTCAATCAAAAAGAGTAATGGGTGAGGGCAGAGGGGAGCCGCAGCCTTCTCCAGCGGCGGCTGGCTCCCGCTCGGGCCAAGACTTCCTTAGGCCTAAAACACTGAAGGAAACCGGGCCACAGACGGGCTGGCCTGTTTCGGAAATGGATCAGGCCTGTTTTGCGAAGACGAAGGCACTCTTCCTTATGGATCCCTTTGAAAAGAAGTTTGGGGTTCTCCTTTTGATTTCCACAGACCCGTCACGGAACGAGGGGATGTTGATTTGAAGAAAACTGCAGGTGCTCTTTGGTACCCAAGGCCAGAATCTTACTGGGGCGCCGGAATCGAGATGCTGGGGCCCCCTCAGTGATGCACGACCGAGATGGGTCTGGCCTCTCATCATCGAGCCGCAATTAGCCGTGGCAAGTTGTGCAAACTGGACGTAAACACCCGGAGGATTCCAGGTGGCAAGAAAGGACTGCATACACACCCTCCCGCACATCACGTAAACACCCGGAGGATTCCAGGTGGCGAGAAAGGATTGCATACGTGCCCTCCCGCACATCGTTCTAGGAGAATCGGTGCTTGGCACATTTTAGCTGGAACCCAAACAAAACTTGTAAGCAAATTTTAAGAAAATAAAGGCACTCCTTCACGGGGGCTTCTCGTTAAGAGCTGCTGCCATAACGGCTGGAGGAGAACACACAGGAGGTCAAATGCAACCTTCTTAATTCTGAGAGGCTCAGCTACCATAGCCAGTTGCCTTCACCCGATTGATTGCTTCTGGCACACTTTTTAAATAATATAATATCTCAGAACTGCAGAGCTGGAAGGGACCCTATAGATCAGTGGTGTCCAACCTTGGCCCTCCAGATTTTCTTGGACTTCAACGCCCAGAAATCTTTGCCAGCAGAGATGGTGGTGAAGGCTTCTGGGAGCTGTAGTCTAAGAACATCTGGAGGGCCAAGGTTGGGGTCCACTGCTATAGATCATGGAGTCCAGACCTTCTTAAGAAGGCCCAGTGGGGAATCGAACTCCCAACCTCTGGCTCTGCAGCCAGATGCCTCAAACATTGAGATATCCAGCACTTATTCAGATGCCTCAACCATTGAGCTATCCAGCACTTATCACTGCAGAATTGGAAGGGATCCTACAGATCATCAAGTCCAGCCTTTATGAAGGAGGCCCAGTAGGGGGAATCAAACTCTCAACCTCCGATTCCACTGAGGCTTCGTGGGGGACTCACAGGTCAACTCACCACTCGGACCCATTTGTCCCAGTTGTGTTCTTGAGTCTTGCCATTGCCACCACTGCCAATTACCACAGCCATCTTCAGAGGCAACAGGTCTAGTTTCCCTTCCAGAAGCCAGGCTTCCAGCCTCCACTCACACATGTGCTGTCCAGCTAGCGCATGCGCAGGTACAGTGGGCTGGCTTCTAGAGTCCCCCTGAAACCCAGCTGGGTGGTGCTGCCGGACTCCTTGGTTCTGAGTCCAAAGCCTTTGGGGCAAATGACTTGGGACTTGGACCCAAGTTTTGGGACTTAGGCCTGGAAGACTTGAACTTGGGCCCGAAGACTTGCCAACATCCCTGGAAGGATGCACTTTTTACACCCAGCCTCATCTTTAAGGTGATCTTCAGCACTTCCTCCCCTCTTCCCCAGGTCCCAGCCTTGTGTTTCACTGAAGCTTTCAGAGAAGGTCTTCGCTGGGGGCAATTAGGACTTCTCAAATGCATCTAATTGGTTCTGGAGGTCACCTTCTGCACCCCCAGTGGCCGCAAAGACTGGACCAAAATGAATCATCACTATCCTCTTCGTCATCTTAGAACTACAGAGCTGGAAGGGACCCTTGGGATCATCAAGTCCATCCCCTGTCAAGGAGGCCCAGTGGGGGGAATCGAACTCCCAACCTCTGGCTCCACAGCCAGAGACCTAAACCACAGAGCTGTCCACGACTTGAGAAGTTTTTTCGGATTGGGGGCGGCCGGGCGGTCGTGGCCTTTTGAAAAGAGGAAAGTGAAAACCCTGCTTTGGGCCAAGAGAAGTTGGCCAAACCACGATGTCCCCCCGAAAATGCTTTTTACAGGGCACCCAAGAGCCTGCCCGTTCTTCCTTTATCGTATCTACCCATTTCAATACTGTATTTGCTGAATTCTTGTAATTGTTTATCATTTTCGCTTTCAATATTGTTTCTTTTAACCTTTAGGAGAAAGGATGGAACAGAAATATTACAAATAAGTAGATGAATGAATTCATCTTGTAGGTCCTTAAGAAGGAGAAATAAACCACCTCTTTCTTCCGAATTTCCCCCTCTTCTCTGACTTCCAGGGGCGAGAGATGAAGCTTTAAAATCTACAGATCTTTCCTCCATCATTAGAAGACGATGTCCACTGATCCTTGGCCGAAAGCTCCAAAAGGATCTTGGGTACCGCAAAATGATGACGACGAAGTGTTTGATTAAAATGATGAAGCTTTAAAATCTACAGATCTTTCCTCCATCATTAGAAGACGATGTCCACTGATCCTTGGCCGAAAGGATCTTGGGTACCGCAAAATGATGACGATGAAGTGTTTGATTAAAATTTGCATCTGTTATATATCAGTCAAAGACTAAGCCTTGTATTTTATAATAATAATAATAATAATAATAATAATAATAATAATAATAATAAATACATTGCTTAAGGAACCACTACAGTGACATGTGCAGGATCAAGTCTAAGCAAGTGTATTCTGATCCACACAAGCTCATACTTAAAAATATATATATATTTCATCCTTTGTCTCTTCTCTCCCCCCCTCCCTTTAATTTTGCCAACCCACAGTGCTCCTTCCCCTTTCGCAAGGGCTCTTGTTCAATCTCAGGCACTCTCTCTGCATCTTTTCCAAACAGCAGGTTCGAATCCTCGTGGGCTTCCTGATGGGGGGTGGGGATGTGAGAAGACTAGAAACCATAAATTTTGTGCTTTTTTGGGGGGGGGAAACGCAAGGGGGAGAGAGGAGGGGAAGGAGGAAAGATATTTTAAGACACAGACCTTGGAATTTGAACACTGTGTTTATTCACTTAGTAATGGGGTAGAACTGCCAATATCAACAGGAGTCTCACAGCGAGCATTTGTTGCTAAAATCATATATTTTACCGAGAGCGCGAGAGAGACACGGCTGGGGTGCCTAATGCTGTTTGCTTAAGCTCTTTCCCCTCCCGGGCTCAGCTCAAAGAAGCTGTTCTCATAATTTTCTGTCGTTCGGTTTCTCCGGAATGAATTCTTTTGCGGTGAAGTAGAGCTGCGTGCGAGAACAGAAAAGACGGGATCAGACGAAACAGCTCATCTCAAGCCAGTGGCATCCGTGGTCTTGGTTTGGGAACATTTCAAACCGCTGGAGGATTATTAAAATTGTGGCCCAGCGGGGAGGCCCGAGGCTGACTGGTTCAAACCTCACACAGCCAACGCTGCAGCAGAGTTGAGGTCTAACTTTCAACAACAGGAAGAGTCACCGACGCGAGACCCAACGTGCATTGGCAGATTTTGGGAAGCCTCCCGTTCCATCTCTCGTTGGCCAAATTGAGAAAGGGGGGTGTCACAACTGGTGTAAGGAAAAGCGAAAGACAGGGGAGCATACCACAAGAGACTACAAAGCAAGCCGGGTTTTATGCCTGCAAGCTTAACACAAACTATACACCAGAAGAGGCAACATTTGGGGGCAGGTGTGTGTGTGACTTCTGCATACCTCCAAAAATTTGGAGGGCTGCGCCTCGTTCTGAAGACCAAATTCCCAAATGGTGCAACGGTCAATCCCTTCTGTTTGCTTCTAAGACCAAAATTTGGGTGAAAAGTTGTTTCAACAGTAAACTCTGATACACACATACTCACACCCTGAGGCTGCTTTTCAGTTTGGGGGAGTCTAGAGGGGCTCAAATGGTACGTATTTTACCTACCTCTTTTGTCGAGACTGAGCATCATGAATGCATTGAGGTAGGCTTGGTAACGCACCCCAACACACCTTTAGGTGTGCGGTACTCACCACATTCATTAAAAAAAATCTGGCACATGGTAAAAAGGAAAGACAGAATCCTATACTGCAGTCCTACATAAATGCCCATGGTGGAAAATTTCTCCTTAAATTCCACTTAGCTGCCCCACCCTGACCAAATGGAGCACAATTCAGCCCCCACAACCTCAAGCTTTGCAGCTTAGCAAGCTAAAGCGGTCACCTTTCGATTGTCCGGCAGTGTCGGACTTTTCTTCGCGCACAACACATCCTATACAGAATCAGCTGTCGCCAGAGGTTGTAACGGTCAATACCTTAGAGGGAGTATGTGGTGTCTCTTGATCTTCCATGTATGGCATATTTTTCACCCGTTTATGTAGGGGTTTTAGGTGGTACCTTTAAGATTGCTAACCATCAATTTTTTAAAAATATATATATTCCACATCACTGTGTTTTTGACTGTAGAATTCTTCTGTGAGCCACTTTGGATCCCTACACCAGCAGAAAGACCACCTTATTTATTATACAAATACAGTAAACCTTAGAAATAAACCTTATCTCTAGCGACGGATAGTATATCTTCAGAGGTTTGGGACATGGCTCTGTCCCACTCCAATGGGGAGATGGAGGAGACTGAGATATGGCAATTTTGGCACGCCAACTGGTGCCCTAATACTGTGCCAGGCTCTTTCCCTGCCCGCGTTCAACCGTCCAAGCCAAGCAGGCTTTCCTCAATGTCTAAAGAATATAACAACAAAGATAGCAACAGCAGCGGTATTTATTAAAATGTCAATTTCTTTTCCAACAGAATCAGCTCGTGAGACCTGGGTGCACCCCCTCCCACCAAGACAATCCATTTTCTTTTTAAGGCTAAGATTTGCACAGGGGAACTTGGTGTGTATTGTGCTGGCCCTCCCTTTCCAGCAACCTCCCGCTACAGTCATTCTTTCTCAAGGCGGGTTTTACAAAGTGAACGTATCAAAATGCAAGGAAAAAAGGTCTGAATCGATAAAAAAAAGGATCCTCACGGATTCGGGCAACCTGGAAGGGTGCACCGCAACACATGCTCATCTCTAGCCAGCATCCCATTTTTGAAATAAATAGAATACTTTTATTTTTTAAAAAAGTATTTTGTGCTCCCACCATAGCAATAAACGCATGGAGTAAACAGATGAAAAGACCCTGCTGCCGACCGGATACCACGGCGCTAAAACTGGAAACGAATATGCCTCCACCGCCATCGTAAGATCAGACCTCTCGCTTTGATCCGTCTGGAGGAACCTCCTTGAAGAGCCTTCTGTAAAACGGAAGATCTGCGCATCCCACCTGCGCTCCTGTTAGGAGGGTCACGCCTCAGTAGCTCTCCAGAAACGCTTAGAATCAGTGCAATAGAAAATGCAGTATAACCTTTCCTTTAATTTCTTTACAGGAAATAGATTTTTTTTTCTACACTCTCATGACATCCTGTGTATTTCTCTTATTTACACAAAACACAGTTGTACATATATATAGAATATGTATATATATATATATATGTATAAGTATATACACACACACAAATGGTAAGAAAATACAGGCTTGGTTTTCTTTCTTTCTTTCTTTCTTTTTCTTCCTATCACTAAATGTTATGCCAAACATGTCTTTGATCCTAAGGGCCCCAAACAGCACAAAGCGGCGTTATTTTTTTCAGGGCACTTGGTTTCTCCAGTTTGCACCCAGGCACTGATCCTGCTTCTCGGGCTTGAGCAGAGCGCGGCGGCTTTCCCGGATCAGAGCCTGCCTCTGGCTCAGGAGTCCAGCTCCAGTTGTTCCTGCTGCTCGCTGGACCTCAGCATGAGCTGCTGCTCGTAGAAAAGGCTTTTTGCATAGTTGATTTCTTGGGACAGCTTTACCGCCAGCTCCTCGGCCGTCACGTGGACCTGCGCGGGGGGTGGGGGTGGGGAGAAAAAGTCACTTCCAAACGCGGAAAACAATCTGGGCACGGCAGCCTTCCCCAACCCGGTGTCTCCTCTACAGACCCAAAGGTGAAATTTTTAGCCCACAATGGGCCTTCCTTTTGTTTCTGGATGGGCTCATGAGCGATGGACTGAGACTCTGGAGACCTGGGTTCAAATCCCGGGCTTAGCCACCGAAACTCACTGTGGGTGGCCGTGGAGCTGGTAAAAGTGTTCCTTAAAATATCTCACTTACTTTGAAAGCTCTATTAGGGATGCTGTAAGTTCCACCTTAAAGTATCGCCCAAGCATGAATTTGGGGGTTTTGTACATTCACGCTGTGTGCCTGTGTTTGCAGAGGTTTGTTCAGCTGCCCCAAAGGCAGGATTGGGGGAAAAAAGGACTGCACTCCCACCTGATTCTAAGTGAAAGAGAAACTGGTACCGCAGGATGAACGGAGCACTTTGAGGACCTGAAGGGGCCTGAAACGGATGCCCACCAGACCCAAGAAAAGCTGTCCGCTGGTTGCTGGTTGGAGAGAGTGTGCAGGCCCTAAAGAGTCTGTAACAACTCTCTTGATGCACCGACTAACTCTGGTCACAAGCCCAGGCAAGGAGGAAGTTATCTGTCCTTAGGCCTTGATGTCTGACGTGGGATAAATCAAAGCCGTCTTCCACAACCTGACCATCCCACCCTTCACCCATGGGTGTTGGGGGCCCCCGTTTTTCTGAGTTACAGATCACGGGGAAAACCTCCAAGCGTATACCCAAGTCTTTCAATCCAGTCCACTGGAAGAGGCAATCATAGGGGTGACCGCAGGGGCGACCCCTGCACTTTCTCCCTCCTTTATAGGTTACTCTTAACTCCTCTTGAGGAGTACTAGCGCCTGTGTATTTAACAGCGGAAGGTGACAGAAAGGGGGCAGCGATGGAGCGCACCCCTCCCTCCGGCCGCTGGGAAAATAGCCTAAGACTTATGGAACCATTTATGGAATTGTAATTCCATGAATTACAACTGGAGAGCTCAGGGGTTGAGACCCCAGCCTTCCTGACAGGGGGCAGGAGTCCCTGATCCACAGGGTCCCTTCCAGCTGTGCCGTTCTAAGCTGATGATACTTAAAACTGTTGTGTTCGTGGGACCAGTTCAAAACCCAACGGCTTAGTATACAACAGCTGCATTTAGGGCTGCTTATGGATCCCTATAATGAGACATGGACGCTGGGGTGGGTGGGGGTGGGTTCAAGGGAACCTATAAATGGGATCCTGGCAGACTCGGGGTGACTGGATCCCAGGTCCAGGAGAGAGAAGCAACCCACACATCCTACATAGGTTGTGCTCCCATTCAGGACCGCTGGCTGTGCGGCTTCTCTCAAATGGCCTCTTCTTCCCAAATAGGATCCAAGTGTTGTTTTCTTGAAAATCCAAAGGAAAGCATTTTCAAGTAAAAAACACCACTCCCTCCTGCTCCCACCCGATAACCAGAGAGCATCTGATTTCCAAAACGTACAGGGAATGCGACGCCTTCCTTACCATGGGCTTCTGGTGAGATGGGCCAGGCATGGCCACCCCGCTGCTGGAATTCACGGCTTTCTTTGTCAGCTGCAGGTAGACCTTCCCGTGGTCTTTGGAGATAAGGCAGTGGTACAGGTCGTCGTACTTGACCTCCAGGAAGATGGAATCTCGGTCCATGTTGTTCCCGTTCTTCAGGAAGTAAACGGCTTTGGAGGAAATGATGACGTAATAGCTGTCGATGTTCTCCGCTGCTATGAAGCTGCAAAAATCAGGAGGTTAGGATTTGCTGCTGGACGAGTTATGATCTCCTTCCAAAAACAAAAAATCAAACATGTCGGACATCAAGGCCTAACGACAGGTAACTTCCTCCTTGCCTGGGCTTGATGCTCCAGCGCCGCAGAAAAGAGGATCTGTTTAGAACAGGCTTGAAAATTATTATTATTTTTGACTGTCTAAATGCTTAAATCAGCTTGATCGACTGATGGATTCATTCCTTTGTATCCTGCTCGGATTTGTGCCAAGGCACAGTTTACCATAAAAAAAAGGCAACACAAAACAGAAATAAAAGTAGAACAGTTAAAACCATAAACAATTAACCAATTTAAAAAAAAAGAGAGAGGGTGCTGAAACAATAATGCAGAGAAACAGCGGATGAAAAAGAGCGGTCAACTCGGGTTGGGGTAGAAAACTTCCCGGAAAAGCCGTGTCTTTGGTTGCCTCCTGAACATCCACAAGGAGGGGTGAAAAGCCGTGTCTTTGGTTGCCTCCTGAATGTCCAACAAGGAGGGGTCCAGGCGAAGTTCCTCTGGAAGCTGGTTCCACGAAGCTGGAGCCACCATGAAGAAGACCCTGCCTCTTGGAGATGACCTCCAGGGCTCCCTTGGGGTGGAAACTGGGTGGACAGCCTTGCCTGTGATGCTCTAGCGGGTTGGGCAGATGAGACTGGGCAAAGACACTCCTAAGGGCTTTAAATTCTCATTTACACCCTGAGTTGGACTCATGTATTTCCAGCCATGACCATCTTAGTGTTTGGGATTTCAGCTGACAAAAGACCCCAACCACCGGCTGCCTTTGCTGGGCCTCCTTTCTGTATGTGTTGGCTTGTCACCCAGCTCACACTGAATGCAATGGGGCTTATTTCCAAGGAAGCACCATTTGACCGACACAGGGTTTCTTACCGTCAAAACGAGATGGCATGGTTAGCCTATTATTAGAAACGGAGTGCTCTTAAAACATGAAATGATGTCTGTTTTTCTGTGAGTGCATGTTTTCTCAGCTCTGTAAGTTGGAAAAAAAGCAGCTTGCTTCTGTTTTGTGACTGGCTACTGGGGAAGTAAACAAGGCCTTCATTTGCAATTGCAATGGCTCAGAAGAGAAGCTTTGAAGGAACCTATCTCTGGAGGGGAGAAAAAAACAACCAATTATTTTACCCCCTTCTAATAGGGAAGCTGGCACCTTCTCTAGTGCTGTCTTTAGAAGCCTGGATGAAATCCTCTGCATATGTATCACAGACACGATGGGACCTTACTTCTACAAAACTAGGCAAAAGATCTCCATGCATCTGGATGGAAGGGGAAAGATTCAGGAGTGCTGTAATTTGTCAGCTGGACTAAGATAATCCGGGTTCAATATGGACCGGGAAAAACCACAAAGAGAGGTCTCTGGCAAGATTATCCATTGGGGACTCCGTAGCAAGGACTCTGCTTTGTTCTCAATCTGAGTCACGCACACCATTGTTGCTGACGTAGGTCATTCTCTCCGGGACTAGTTGCCAAACCTTCCCGTGAACCCTGAAGACTTTTGCGCTGTCTGTTTCGCTCCAAACCCACCCTTTCCCAAAGCCCTACATTTGGGTGATTTTTGAAAACAAAGCCCATGCAAAAACAATTATAAAAAAAAATAAAATAGAACTCACAAATCCAAAAGAAGAACAGAATTCCCCAAGAACAAAGCAGAAGCAGTGAGATCTCTGGAGAATTTATGGCTCAATGCCTCTCAGTCCAACAAGTTCTCTCACACACACCCCCACCGCCTCCTGACACACACATCAGGAAGTAATTTAATTACACAACAACGTTTTCCAGAAGTGAAACAGTGGGCCTAGTTGGGAAATAAAAAAATATGGAAACATTTAGCTAGAACAGTAGAGTGGGGCATTAAAGCCCTCTTCTAATGGATTTAACGCTTGGGGGGAGGGGAAATGTAAGATGATTAAGTCTTTCAATCATTTGAAAAACTGGAATACGAGAAAGGGACAAAGGGACCCAAACTCTGTATGTGGTTACACAGGAGTAGAAAGACGGTGACCGGTTTTGAGACTGGGATAGCTGATGAGAGGGAGACCATTGCAGGAAACGTACAACTGCAGAACTGGATAGATCATAAAGTCCAGCCCCTCTCGCGGAGTCCCTTGGGGGGGGGAACTGAACTCCAGCCAGAGATGCCTTAAAACCGCTGAAAGAGAGCTTCTCGGAGAGATTCCTGTTCTGGTTTTTTTTTGAGTGGAGGAACATTTGGAGAGATGGCCTCCGGAGGCGCCCCGGTAATCCCTTAGGCAAGTAGATGCCCTGTGCGTTTAAAGGGGAGACTGGCGAACGGATGCTGGCGTAGCGCTATGCTCTATCAGCATTCGGCACCATTCTGCCCTTCGCCAACTGGACGAGAGGTAATGGGGCCACAGAGGGGTGATGGAGGCAGATGGGGACAGTTGACTTCAAATCCTTGTCTAGCTAGGATGCTCATATGGCAACCCTGTGTAGGAAGAATGTAGGAAGCTGTTTGGCACCAAGTCAGGTCATTAACGCAGCTGAGCTCAGGGAATCACGTAGTCCATGGTACACCAGCACCCTGCTTCGGTCACACTGCCTCTCTCCCAACGCCGTTTTTAGAAGGGACGAATGCGAGAGCATCCATCCACCTTTTGTTCTAGCGGAAAACCCGGGTCTGCAAACAGAACTGCAGTGTGGACAAGAGGTCCTCAGGGTCCTATAGCCCAGCCACCATTGAACCAGGGAAGGCTATGGTGACCCCGAAAGAAGGCCGTCCGGCTTGTGTTTAGGAGCGTTTTGCCGCCTTCCGAGATGGTCTACGGCAGAAATCACTTTGACCGCCTGGAAGTTTTTCTTTCCTGGAACTTGAAAACGTGGTTTTGGGCCCTACCTATCGTCTGGAGCGGCTGCAAGCCCAGTCGCTCTATTTTTCATGTGTGAAATGAAACAACCCCCCCCCCCCCCAAACCCTCAGGGGGTTCCTGTACTCCATCTTCTGTCTTCCAGGTTAAACACACAACCTCTTCATCTTCTATCCACAGCCCTCATCAAGGGGGTCCTTCCAGGGCTGGGTTTCACATAGCAATCGTGTGGCCTCTGAAAGGTCCCGTTCTGAAAGATCAAGGTCCCTGGACCACAGCTTGCCTTTCCCAGTTCATTCAATTCCTACACAGTGAAGATCAGTTGTTGCCCAGGACTGGAGGCACGAATCGTGCCCAGACCTATTACACAAGTCAAGGCATGGGTGTGTGCAGACGGGAGAGAATCTCAAGGTGGTTTTCCAAAGGGGAAAGAAAAAGAAGAATGAAAGGGAGAAAAAAAGAGTTCCTTCCAAAACTAGGCACAGCAAATGGGACGGACACTTACAACTCGTCCTCAATGTTGTCGGTCAGTTTGAAGAGCAGCTCCTGTCCTTCGGCTTGGCTGTCCGAATAGCGGGGTAGGAGCCCCTGGGGACCCCTGCAACACCGGGGCCTCCTCACTCTCTCCGCTTGTGTCCTGTGAACAAGACCGGGGGGAAAAAAGGGAATTTACAGTAAAGACCAAGACAGAACTGGTGGGAACACCGGAGGGTGCAAGCTGGGCTTTAAATTGCGTTCCCAGAAAATCAAGACCGGATCATATCAGACCTCTAAATCACTGGTTCTTAACCTTGGGTTACTCAGGAGTTTTGGACTGCAACTCCCAGAAGCCTTCACCACCAGCTGTCCTGACTGAGGTTTCTGGGAGTTGCAGTTCAAAAGCATCCGAGTAACAAAGGTTAAGAACCACTGCTCTAAATCTTTGCAACACCTTGCCTTTTCTGCACAACATTCTCTTTTAAAAATATAAAATGCACATTCTTGGAGCAGCACATTTCTCCTTTCCTTTTGCTTTTGCTGGAAGGAACAGGAGGGAAGGGCTTTGTCTTTTTGATCTTGTGCAGGAACAAAAAAGAATCTCCCAGCAATAGACAGTATTTCTGATGGGGTGTCCCAATGCATTCGCCACTGAGGTGTGGAAATCAAGACACGGGAGTAAGGAGGCCAGAGGTTCACACCAGTAGTAATGCATTACAAGTAACACAGTACCCCTTAACAAGTTCCTTTAACAAGTCTGCCGTTTTCTTTGCCCACGGGAACATGATGAAACAGAACCACTTTATGGGTATAACAAGCTTCTAGTTACTTTTAGAAGACACTTTTAGGTGTTTTTTTCTAGTGGCATTTTGCAGAAATTCTGCAAGCACTCCTTCACTCTACCCACCCGGCTCTAAAAGGCGGAGTTAACCCCCAGGCTCCTTCCCCCCAAAGGAAAAGCAATGATCTTTCAGATGCAAATTACTTTTACAATTATAACTTTTTAAGCTCTGCTTCCTGGGGGTTGGCTGCCAAGCCACCCACCATGGACTTGTGGGGATCACCAGAATCCAGGCAGGGTTTCCTTTTGGGGGGGCCCCCTAGCCCAGTTCCTCTTGCTTGGCTTTCTCTTCCACCGCTTTGCACCATAGCTGCTGCTTCCTTTGTGCGCTGGGCCCCCTTATCCTCCCCCCCCCACCTCCTCTACTGCAGACGAAAGTGTTGCTGCTGCTGCTCCCTGTTTGATCTAGAGAGAGAGAGATGAAAAAAAAAAAAAAACCAACCCGGGCCGTAGAGTTTTCTGGTCAAACCTTTTGGCAGCAGCACATAAGGCGGACGGGGTTTCGTGCAGATGTTTCCTCCAGAGGCTCGTTTCCTCCCTCGTACCTCTGCACCCCCTTCTCCTTTAGCAACACGGAGCCTGGCTACGAAATACAGGCTTCTCTTTCTTTCCTCGACACAACTCAGCCTTTTCCAATTTGCTCTGTTTACGGGAACGTGGGTGCAACTCAAATGCCTCTCTCCAAAGCTCTCCTTTTCTTCAAACCAACCAACCAACGAAGCATCACCACCACAAATACGGGGGTGCGATGTTGCTCCCCCTTTCTGAAGCTTTTTTTCCCCTTGTGAGTTCCTTCCACCAAGTATCTATAAATGCATTTAAGACGGAGCAGAATAGACACAGCCCAATGCTAACTTTTGCACCCTGCCTACTCAAATAAAGCCTTCTTTTTTTTCTCTTCCGCACGGAAAATCAGGGTTTCCAAACTGGGCGGAGAGCCTCCGCGCACACCTGTGGCTCCCCATTTTTGGACTTGTCGCTTTTTATGTGCACAAGGCAACAACAGAAGGGTGAGGCTGGCACATCCACACGTTCCCCTTAAACCCCCCCCGCCCCCCAAGAACAAATCATTCTGCCAGAATGATCAACCAGCCTGGGAGAAGAAAGAAAGTTGATGAGACACGACCGATTGATTGATTGATTGTGTTATTTGCAACAGTTTGGCAAAAATATTTTGACTCCTGTTTGACAAGACCAACAAAGACATCCTTACTCTATCCAACCTTGCCAGTTCCATGGTATACTCCTGGAATGAAGACACCTTTGACTAGCCACCAGAGACATGCAATCTGCTCCATTCTGGAATCGAAAACAGACATTTCTAGGCAAATTGTTACTTGAGTCTAAGTGTACACTTTTTTTTTTAGCACATGGTCACAGCTGGCGGATCTCAGAGGTTCTGGCCCAAATCAAAGTTGTAGCTGCCTAATTAATCTCTTACTTGCCGAGGCAGGAAAAGAGCAAAAAGTGTCCTCGGTAAGGCTGATGGGTGTTGTAGTCCAACAACAGCTAGAGGACTACACTTGGTTCACTCCTGCTCTACTTCAAAGATTTTTGGCTGGCTCTTGTGTTTGCCAGAGTTGAAGAAGTGAAACGCTAGGTACACATGGCTAAAAACCTACAGACAACGGCTAAGGGGGACCAACTGATGCGGAGTTCTGTAGCATGGCCTTGCTTATTTCCAAGAAGGGAGAGCGAAGGAAAAATGAGCGGGTGAGTGGATGCACAGAGGCAGAAGCATGGTGTCAGTTATAACATTGAGATGTCATGTAGCAAGGAGATTGCTAGTTACTCGTGTCTTATCTTGGGACAGGTAGGAGACAAGAAAAACACTCTCTTACAACGCGTTCCTGAAATATTCAAACATCCTTACTCTATCCAACCTTGCCAGTTCTATGGTATACTCCTGGAATACTCAAAGACACTTTCTACCAGCAACCAACAGAAACATTTCTATTCAAAAGATGCTGCACTTGTTATTTCCTTTCCTTCCACAACATACAACTTGGCAGTAGGAATAGAAGTCGCCGTAACAGCAACAGTAATAGCAGCAGTAGAAGTTGTTGTTGTTGTTGTTGTTGCTGCTGCTGCTGCTGCTGCTGTCATCATCATCATTGTGGTCCCAATGATGGTCAGCTGCCTTCTAAATTACATCTGGTCAGTATTAATGTGAATTGCATTAACTGGAGGAAGCTGCTAGATTTTAGAAAATCAGTGCACTTATTCCGGACATCAAGCAGCATTCCAAACAAATTGCCTTTTTTAAAAGAAAAGAATAGAAATCTACGGAATTTGTCTCGCCGTCTCAGGCAAATGCTCCGTAAACAGGCCACCCCGATGAAATTTAAAAAGCTAAAAATTCTGCAATGCCGAAACGGGCGGTAGGGTGCCCACATCTGTGTTACATTAAATTCAACTGAACACTCAACACGTCGGCTGATTGGCTTTTAATAGGCACACAAAGGCAATACAAGAGAGAAATGCCCTCGTGTCCGCCTGGCACAGCGGGGAAGAGCTGTGCTGAATGAAGGCATAAAACGATGGGGGGGGAACGGCCTCGTCAGGGAAGCCGGGCGGTCGGGGACAGAGCACCAGCGTCCAGGCCGTGTCGGAGCCCGGAGCGGCTCTGCTCCAAGAAAGAGCTGCAGACCCAAAGTCTTTCTCATTATTAAGACTTGCGTTAAATCAGTGGTGATTAAAACAAGCCACAATATTCCAGAGACTACAGCAGGCTCAAAGGAGTGTGACTCTTTTTTTTTTTCTGCTTTGCAGTTAAAAAAAAAACACTAGAGGTCTAAAGCAGAGATGGTCCAACTGTGGGGACAGGATGAAGCCCTTCTTCCCCCATGGCTATTTTGATGGGTCCTGAAAACCACCAGTTGCCCTACCCTCTACCAAATAAAAGGCTCCCCTTTCCTTCTCCCCCAGCCCCCCAAACAAATGGGGGGGGACCTACTGCTATTGAAAGACTCCAGGAGCCGGATTCAACTTCCAAATATGCGGCCGTGTATTGGAACACCCATTTTTAAAATCCAGAAGCGGACTTTCAGCTCTTTCCATGTTCTTTCCCCCATTTTCCACCACAAGGTTGGCCACGGTTGAGGTCCCTGGAAGACGCCAAGGACAAAAAATTGCCCCCCCCGACTCAGACCAGTTGCCAGCCTTGGTCTAAACAATGGTTCCAGTCTTTCTTGCTCAGTTGTTTTCGGGGGGGGAGAGAAGGAGCTGGTCTCCACTGCTTAAGGTTAAAAAGCACAGCTGGAAGATTCAGGTAAATACATATATTAGAGTTTGCAACCCAGCAGCAGTGCGCTACCTTTGGAGCTGAAATGCTAGTAGGCTTTGGGGCGCTTCATGGGGTTGCCCTGCTTGCTCTGTCTGAGAGCCACTCTGTCCTACCGGTTTCATCCGCAGGCCGCCCTAACACGGCCTGTCTCCTTTCCTTGCCAACCAATATGTCTTCCCTGCCAGCTGCCTCTGCTTGCCACCCAGCACGAATGCCTGCCGTCCAGGTCACTCTTCCCCGGATGCAGATGCCACGCGGAGACCCTCTCCGTGGCTCAGGGCAGTCATTCCGCCTGCTACAAGAGGGATGCTCCTTGCTTAGATAGGCCTGGCGGTCTCTTGTCTGCAGGCCTGCTTCCTTTACTTGCACTCATGCTCTACTACACAGCTACCAAGAATGTGGCTGGATGGAGCTAAATTCCATGGGAGCTTCAAGGAATTATGGTTCTGGTAATCTCCCTGCATGTTATGCTCCAAAAAGGGTGTCTACTAGACCCATAAGGCCTTGGAGCTCCCCCCCAACAAATGTACTTCTTTGGGGCTCAGGGGGGCTAGGGCTACCTGTGGTCTCTAGCCCATGTTTTGCCCATCCCGTCTTTATATGGACCCAAATAGGACAAACAATTAGGGTTTACTAATAAACTACTGTCACTTTGTCCATTATTGGTATCCTCACCTAGCCATGAGGTCTTGTATGAATGTGACAGTCTTATACTTTCACTCTAATGTCTAAGGAAGTGGGCTTGCTTGATCCATGAAAACTCAAATTCAAAGACAGCAGTTAGTCTTTTAAAGAGTTGCAACGTTTTGGATTTATCACTTCGTGTGTGTGTGTGCGTCTAGTACTCTATGCCAGGGGTCTCCAAATATTTGACCCTGAGGACCACCCCAGTTATTTTCATTATTTTTGAGGGCTGAAGGAACAGGAATTTGTGTGCGCATATGTGCAGCCGCCTGCCCGCCTGAGCACACGGATGCCCAACTGCCCACCCGCAACCCCACCGGCTTTGAATAAACTAAAGAGAGATTTGTCA